AATCCTATTGATATTCTCGAAAAAAAATGTTGAATACATACACATTGGTCCGAATCGTTCAACCGACAAATAAACATGTTGCATCGAATGGATGTTTGAGTTACAATGACGTATTGTATATAAATTTTGATATTCGTGAACAAAATCATTCATTAATATCTTAATAGATTGCACATCATCTTTTTTCGTTTTATCTCCATTAGCAATGTTCATAGCATAGACAAATTTTAGAAAATTATTATAATATTTTTATTTTAATATATTATGGAATATTGAAAAACCGAAATGCACAATTGCCTTGAATTCCGACGCTTTATATTTATAAAAATTAGATATACGGCGAGGACGGCGAGATATTGTACTTGGCATTCTTAAATTGTCCAGCAATAACTGAATATCATTTTATCTGGAACGTATCGACCACGAGCACATTCGGTACTTAGCGTCCAACCACAGAGTTAGTAACTTTTTCATGACACCTTCGTACGATGAATGAAGATCATCAATTAACCAAGACTGACCCACATCAAACTTTCGAAGAGGACGGAACTCACAATATCCTGCAAAAACGACTCCAATATTTGTCTAGTGTATATGCTAAAAGAACTAGAAATAACAAAAGCAGAGGAGAAATGGAACGGAGGCGAGAATTTTGGTATAAGATGAGCTACAAACAATCAAGTATTTATTTAGAAGAGCCTCGAATTATCTTTTCGGTAACTGGTCTGGGAGACAGGATTCGAACCTGTGACCTCAACCACTTAAGGTTGCACTCTGCCGACTGAGCTACTCCCCATTATAACTACTACCTACTATGACAATTATGGGGCAAGTAATCCCAAAATAAATCAATAAGAGCATAATTTCTGAATGCGATAGTTTTTTAATGTCTGAACAAAAAAACTATGTTGCTCAACAATTGCAAAGAAGGAAAAAAGACGAAAAATGTCCAAAGTTTGTGTTACCTAAATGACCTTTTTCATCATTCAAATTCTTTTTTTCCATTTTTGAAATATTTTCATCATGTGATTCATTTGTACGCAAAATGGGTGTTTTTTCAAAAGGATATACACGTATTGGAGGTTGTCGTTTCACTGATTTTTGACGGATACCTAAAACAGAAAATGACATTTACATAAAATGTTATTTTTCAAGTTATAGATTATTGTATTTTACTCAATAAATTATACTGCGTTAATTTAGTAAAATGAAAAAGGTCCCACGTGTGTAGCAAACACCACATCCATATTCAGCCATATAGCCTTTTACATTTTACATTTTACATTGAGATGGTTTATCATTGCAAGACGTTATTGTAAATAAATGTAATTTTCGTGGGGAACCCAATTCTGGTATATAATAATCACAGCCATTCTCAAGATTGACTAATTCCACAACAAGGATTTGAATCGAGGCTTGAATTTGTTTAGTTGTCGGCAGTTTACCGGTCNTGTGTCTGGATAAACAACATCAACATTTTGACGCGCGTCGATAATTTTTGTATATGTATTAAGAAATGATAATATCTGTTGTACTTGACTTTGTACAGATGAATAGAAAAACGTTGTTGTATCATTTCTTCCGCATACACATTTGTTCGTATTTACTTTTTCACAGAAATTACAATAATATTAAGTTTGATAAACGGTGTCCAACTTGCGATCGGTTAACGTATATCTGTAACAAAGAACGAAATTTCTGCCTAATATATGCCACGAGAACTGGAGGAAACTGAATTAGGAGGAGACAGAATTAGAGGAAACTGTATTTCTCGCGTATACAAATGCCTCGGGAATCAGAAGTTTGATAAAAATAACGCTCTACAGAACAACAGTGGAACCTTGAGCTTAGCCAGCATGAGGATATAATTGATTACTTCGACGCATATTTCAACAGAGATGAACCTTTTGAAAACCTGGCAAAAAACCATATACTTGATCACATCTCAACCGCTGGGAACATTTTCATAGTACAGGGATATTTTTAATCGAAGCATATTACAAACATAATTCATTGTGGCATTACTAACACCACATCGCGCTTTAAATATCATTAATGCTGAAGCCCAATCCTTCTTTGATGGTTTATTTTCTGGTATCTCTAGAGTAAAATAAGAAAAAGAACGATAAATATTTAGAAAATCACACAGATATGAAAATGTACCATTCCCATCCATATCTTCATCAAACCAATCCGCTAACTGAGATGGAAATATAGCTGCATTATGCTTAGATTTCTCATCGTCGCTTGAATCATCTAAATAGTACGTAAACCTAGAATAACAGAAATATTTTGACCTGAGCATTTGCCTTCAAACAAGTGGTCATAATCATCGGGCACAACTGTAACATCTGGTACAGTCAAATTATCATTTAATGTATGACCTAAAAAAGACACATTCACACATAACATTTGTGATTGAAACGACAGGCAAGAAAGGTTCTTACCATGGGCATATTTTAAGTCGACTGACGTAATCGTTGAACGTCTTTTTTCAATAATTCGTCTTCGTTTACGTTCACCTTTTTTAGTCATGTCATTCACAATAATATCTAGAGCATTTTATATTATGATTTATGTAATCCGAAATTAATCCGGAAAGTGAACATTAAGACGTACTTGCATTGCTCAAAATGCTTCAACAGATACTTTAACTGCACGCACTCAAGTTACAACCCGTCTAATTAAGCTTGTAATCGTAAACATAATTTAAGAAAGAGTCTCAGTTTCACTTTCTGTCGTTCGACCATCTCTAGCATCTTTTACTGAACAAAAAATTTACATAAACACCGTCAAAAAACAAACAGTAAATGAAAAAAAAAAGAAGATGACAAATAATTCAATTTTCTACTTACGAGGAAACTTTTCCAAGTATATGTTTAGAAATTCGGATGGGATACATTGTACTTAGTAGACTAAACAATGCTGATCACGAATCTGTTCGCCGTTGGCCGCACCGTTAACAGTTGATGAATCATGAAAATCCTATGGTTGTATTAGCAAAAGTACTTTTTTTTCGAAAGATCAGCGCTTTTGATAAAACCGTGCACCAGAGCAGTACGACATATAATTTTGAGATAAATACTTCAGTTACGATATGGAACGTCTCTCAGTCTTTAGCGATATCGTTGTCGAAAATGCTAATTTTCATAACAGAAAGCTAAAATTTCGACATTATACAACGTAATACGATAAAAACGAAAAATCTTTGGATATAACTACATACAGATAGAAATTTAACATAAAACGGAAAGAGTTATAAGATGCTTCTTTGGTGCATCACTGCCTACTTTTGCCGTTATATTTGATGCCATTAAA